CCTATGCCCCATTTCCGTAGTCCACTGGTACCTCTTCCCATCATTGAGGTCCCCTTTGAAAGGATTGCCATGGATTTGGTAGGTCCGCTGGTGAAATCCGCTAGGGGGCATCAGTACCTGTTGGTCATACTCGACTATGCCACCCGCTATCCAGAAGCAATTCCACTCCGAAATACCTCTGCCAAGACAATAGCTAAGGAGCTATTCCTCGTTTTCAGCCGAGTGGGTATTTCAAAGGAACTGCTGACGGATCAGGGAACCCCCTTTATGTCCCGGGTGATGAAAGAGCTGTGCAAACTGTTCAAGGTCAAACAGTTGCGCACCTCTGTGTATCATCCCCAAACTGACGGGTTGGTGGAAAGGTTCAACAAAACCCTGAAACAAATGCTAAGGAAGGTGGTAGATAAGGATGGAAAGGGTTGGGATTATTTAGTACCCTATTTGATGTTTGCCATCCGGGAGGTACCCCAGTCCTCCACAGGGTTTTCACCATTTGAGTTGCTCTATGGGAGACACCCAAGGGGGCTGTTAGATATCGCCAAGGAAACTTGGGAAAGTGAGAGTTCTCCCCACCGGAGTGTGATTGAGCACGTCGCCCAAATGCAAGATAGAATTGCCCAGGTCATGCCTATCGTGAAGGAACATTTGTCCCAAGCACAGTTAGCGCAGCAGAGGGTGTACAATCGGGGGGCCCGGACCAGGTCATTTGCTGAAGGAGATAGAGTGCTAGTGCTAATCCCTACGGTTGAAAGCAAATTCCTGGCCAAATGGCATGGCCCCTACGAGGTGATTGAGAAAGTGAGTGAAGTGAATTACAGGGTCAGACAACCAGGAAGGCGGAAACCGGAGCAGATCTACCACATTAATCTGCTAAAGGCCTGGAGGGACAGGGAATCCCTAGTTGCTGAGGGTTTGTCACCAGCGCCATCTAACTGCTTGGTTCCGGAGGTTGGAATAGCAGTCACCTTGTCTACAATTCAAAAACAGGAGGCTAAAGAGTTTGTGCTCCGCAACACAGATGTTTTTTCTGAGCTGCCGGGACAAACCTCGGGGGTGGAGCATGACATTATCACCCCCCACCGGGTGAAAGAGTAAAACTGAAACCCTATAGAATCCCAGAGGCTCGACGGGAGGCAATACGTGGGGAAGTACAGAGAATGCTAGATTTGGGGTGTGATAGAGGAGTCCCAAAGTGACTGGTCCAGCCCCATAGTGTTGGTGCCCAAACCAGATGGGAGCTGGCGATTTTGTAACGACTTTCGACAGTTGAATAAAGTTACAAAATTTGACACCTACCCCATGCCAAGGATTAGATGAACTAATCGACCGACTGGGAGCAGCCCGGTACATGACAACGCTAGACTTGACAAAAGGATATTGGCAAATTCCCCTAGCTAAGTCGGCAAAGGAGAAGACTGCATTTGTAACCCCAGAAGGGTCATTCCAGTATAAAAGAATGCCGTTCGGGTTACAGAATGCACCGGCCACCTTTCAGCGAAAAATGGATCAGATTCTTCGTCCCCATCAGAAGTATGCTGCAGCGTACTTGGACGATGTGATTATCCATAGCGCAGACTGGGCCTCACATTTGCCAAAAGTTCAGGCTGTGCTAGACTCAATACGGAAAGCTGGGTTTACGGCCAACCCAAAGAAGTGTACGATTGGACAGGAGGAGGCCAGGTACCTGGGGTACACTATTGGGAGAGGGGTGATAAAACCTCAGATAAACAAAGTGGAAGCAATACAGAATTGGCCACGCCCAAATAACAAAAAGCAGGTACGGGCTTTTCTAGGAATTGCTGGCTACTATCGGCGATTCATTCCCCATTTTGCTTCTATGGCAGTACCCCTAACCAACCTGACAAAAGGGAAGGAGCCTGTCATGGTTAAGTGGTCCCCTGATGCTGAAGCAGCCTTCCAGTCTTTAAAAAGGGCCTTATGTAGCCAGCCAGTCCTATACTCCCCAGACTTCTCAAAAGACTTTGTGGTCCAGACGGATGCATCCAATGTTGGCTTAGGAGCAGTGCTGTCCCAGGTTTGGCAAGGGGAGGAGCACCCAGTAATCTATCTCAGCCGAAAGCTAAAGTCTCACGAGGAAAATTACGCCACGATTGAGAAGGAGTGTTTAGCGGTGAAGTGGGCCCTAGATTCCCTTCGGTACTATCTGCTGGGCAGACATTTTGACCTGATCACCGATCACGCTCCCTTGAAATGGATGGCTCAAAATAAGGAGACCAATAGAAGGGTAAATAGGTGGTTTCTGGCCCTACAGGAATTTACCTGTAGGGCCATATATATATATATATATATATATATATATATATATACCCTACAGGAATATATATATATACACACACACACATGTGTGTATATATATACACACACATACACACACACACATGTGTGTGTGTGTGTGTGTGTGTGTGTGTATATATATATATATATATATATATGTGTGTGTGTGTGATTTTGCGCACCCATATATATATATATATATATATATATATATATATATATATATATATGTGTGTGTGTGATTTTGCGCACCCATGCTGCCCTGTAGTAGTATTTACATCCTTTTTTTTCCTACAAATTGAGCTTTCTTTTGGTGGTATTTGAGAAAAAAAAAAACAATATTTTGGACTTTTTGCTATAAAACATGTCCAGTAAAAAGAACTAAAAAGAACTATGGTTTCAGTGATAATCATCTTCATGCATGACATTGCACCATTTCATGCTGCAAGGAATACCTCTGCATCAATGGCTGTTATGGGGATAAAAGGAGAGAAAGTCATGGTGTGGCCTCCATCTTCCCCTGATCTCAGTCCTATGAGAACCTTTGGAGCATTCTCAAGCAAAAGATCTATGAGGGTGGGAGGCAGTTTACATCCAAACAGCAGCTCTGGGAGGCTATTCTGACATCTTGCAAACAAATTCAAGCAGAAACTGTCCAAAAACGTACAAGTTCAATGGATGCAAGACTTGTGAAGCTGCTATCAAATAAGGGGTCCTATGTTAAAATGTAATGTGACCTGTTAAAATGTTTAAAAAGTTAAAATGTTGTTAAAAGTTTGAATGAAATAGCTTTTGATTTCATTAAATATGCTGCAAACACAACAAATGACAATTTTCAGTTCTTTACAACCTATAAAGTGTTTTGAAATGTACTGTGCATAATAATTTGGAACAGTGCATTGTAAGTGTTTTATGTTTAACAAAAATACTGTTATCATTAGGAGGTTTGTTCAATAAAATATGAATTGTACTCTTAATAGTTGATAACATGAGAATTATGCTGACTGTTATGTACATCAATTATTTAGGTAAATGAGAGAAAACTATAATTTGCATAATAATTTGGAACACGGTGTATATATTGCAGGAGACCTGCATGGTACAAGCGATCTGCTGACATAGTGCTTTACAGGCTCCTGCAACAAAAAATAGCTACACATTTTTTTACCTGCAAAAAAATGTGCATTGATTATTTTTTGTCAAAAGGTGAACTTATCCTTTAGGCCAGTGTTTCTCAACCTTTTTACCATCAGGCACCCCAGTTTAAGGCCTGGTTCACATTACTGCGTTTCAAAATGTACGTGTTCCTGACACACAGACAAACATGAAGATACGCAGGGGTGTCTTTAATTCTTAATAGTGTCCTTTATTCTTGGCAAATGCAGTGTGTTTTTGGGGCAGCACATTTTTTTTTTTTCAATGATCGGGAACTTCTTGCCCTTTTTTTCTTTGGGTACGGAAGCCCACTGAAATGAATGGACTGGACATGCAGCAGCACAGATGTGAACCTTCATTTTGTGGTGCTCACCTCCCCATCCCCCCGCCCCCTCCCCTCTGCACCCCTAACCCCCTCTACTCACCTCTGTATCCCAAAACCCCCTCTGCTAAACTCTATACCAGAACTCTGTCTGCTCACCCCTGTACCCCTAACCCCTCGATCATTTCTGTTCCCAAAACCTCCTCTTTGTTCACCTCTATACCCCAAACTCCCCAATCTTTGCTCACCTCTGTACCCCAGACTCCCCACTCTCTGCTCACCTCTGTACCCCAATCCCCACTCTTGTCAACTTTGTACCCCAACCTTCTCTCTCTACTCACCTCTGTACCCCAAAACCCCCCTCTCTGCTCACCTCTATACCACAAACCCTCCTATTTCCTCACCTCTGTACCCCCAATGCCTCTTTGCTAACCTCTGTGCCCCAAACCTCCTCACTGCTCACCTCTGTACCTCACTCTCTTTTCAAGCAATTTCCCACCCTCCCTTTTGATCCTCTCTGTTCCCTGCTTTCCTCTCACCAGAACTCCAGGGCAGGACCATTCTTTCTCTATAAACCACAAGGCTGGCTTAGTAAGGAGTGTGGCTACGCTAGTGATTTTCAAGGGCATATGGCTGGCTGTAGATTGTAGCTTTGCATTGGCGGCCAGTTGAAGACTTAGCATATACCTCTGCTGCTTCTTGTCTCCTTACCCTGTCTTGAAAGCTCCTGCTGTGCTGACATGCAACACATTTCGACAGAGTGTGCTGCCAACAGAAGAGCACCTTCTACCACCGCATAGAGCTGACCGCTAGCCGCGTGCGTCTCCCAGAAAGCCACGTGAAATGGCCCTTAGCAACTGATGATGTCATCGGTTGTCAGGACATGGGTAGATTACCCACGGGGCTTCCTGAGTTTCTGTAACATCTGCATGCGCATTTGACTAAGCGGACCGGCACCACTGTAAAAAGAAATATGGTAACTGGTGGCAAGAACAATGTATTCTGGTTGGATTGGGGAATTTTTTGTCCATTTTGCCATGCCACCCCTGGGGAGTCTTCATGGCTCCCTGATTGAGAAACGCTGCTTTAACCTCCCTGGCGGTATTCCCGAGTGTAGCACGGGGTAAAGTTTCAGTACCACAAGCGGTAACCCCGAGCTACACTTGGGCTTACCATACGGTGTTGCTCCGCGATCCCTCGATCACTTACCTTGTCCTGCTCTCCCGCGATGTCCCTCCTGCAGTGTCCCCGACAACGTAATCCGGTGGATGCCGGCATCTGTCAGCTTGGTTCCGTCCCCTGCGAGCGTTGGGACGTATGGGGGACAGAATGGCGGGAAATTTGAAAATGACAAAAAGTGACATTCACTAAAATCACATAGTAAAACATTACTGTATCAAAGCATTTCACATACATTTTGTCCCTAGTGCTTTGTCCTGTGCCCTGCCTGCATTTTTACTGTTCTTTCTGCCTGGAAACTGAGAAACGTCCATGGCGTCCAAAAAGCTTCCCTTTAGGTCAAAAGTGGTTTTAGACCAGCTAGAGAACAGCGATAGTAAATTAGAACCACTTGCAGAATTGAGTGATAATGATTTGTGGGGAAATTCGTCATCAGACACTAAAAACAATTTTCGACTTTGCTCAATGATGTGCGAACTTGGTGCTAAATTTTAAATTTCAGTGTTTTTGGTTTGATTATGTTATTGAATAAATTTATTATATTATTTTTTATGATTATTTATTAAATTATAATTTATGATTTTGTGTTTCAAGTTTTAGCCTAACCGGGATGTTTACTAGACTCCTTGTTTGGACAGATTTCAGTGAGTTATTCCTAAAACTTACAGGCCTACAATATAAAACGCCAAATTTCCATGCAAAATAATGGTACCGCTTTCAGCACCAAAAATCTGAAATAATCATACCGCCAGGGAGGTTAAGCCTTTCAATGAATTCCACACTAATAGTGGTATCCCCCAAAAAGATTTCTTCAAATACCTCAGCATTCCTCCGTATAAATCTGTTAAGACTCCCTCCTCAAAGTACTCTTGTTATACTACAATGATCATTGATCCAAACCGAAGGTGAATACAGTTTTTATTCTTTCTACCCCCCCCCCCCCCACATGTGCACACACACTTGCTAGGAAAGATGGGAGCAAGAGTTTGGATTTAACCACACCCTTCCACAGTGGCCTCTCAAAGCTTCTAGATGCATATCCCATTGGATTCTGCACAAAAATTTCTGAACAGGCAACAACCCCCCCCTTCCCCAGAAGAGTAGCCACAATCTTCTTTCAAAATCTCCACTCAGTTGGGGGGCTGTGGACACAATTTAGAAATTAAAGGGATTTTAAGGCGACCTAAACTTTTAATGTTTTTAACCTTGCACCTCCCTGCCTGTCTCCAGGAGCTCGCCTGTGGACTAACAGGGAGGGTAGAGACCTTGCAGTGTAATTAACACCGATTGGGTGCTCATCAGGGAAGGGGAGTGTCTGTCTCTTAACGCTCAGCATTATAAAATAAGGAGCCGGCCCCAGTAAGAAAAGAAAAACGTAATTTCTTCAGGTTACCCTCGCACATGGAAGCACTTGGGTACTCAGAATTAGCGTGCAGTCCCAAAACGCACTACAATTGCAAAACACAGGTTCAGGTGTAATTATTTTCAATGGTACTTAAAACGCGGTGCGGTTTTGCCGCATTGTGCGTTTTACTGCGTAACAATCGTGTTGCATCGCATAAAGCTTGTCACACAAAAAGGAGCAGGAGCTTCTTGATTTGTGTTTTGATTTGCAGCAATTATTGTACAATTTACTGTGTGGCAAATCACACCGCGTGAAACTTGTCTCCCATAGAGGAGCAGAAGCTTCTTTTGGGTGACAAGCTGCACGCAATGCTTTTGCCGCACAACAATTCTGACAAAACTGTACATTTGAACCTGCTTTTTGGGATCGCTGGCAGAACTGCAGCAATTCTGCTGCAATCCCAAAACACCCAGGTGTGAACAGAGCCAGCCTGGTTCACACACATGCGATTCTGGATGTGTTTCAAACTCATTTTCGCATGACAGGTTAAATGTATTCTTATTGAGTTATTTCACACATGCAATCCACACGCACTGCGTTTTGAGTGCCATCACAAAAAAGGTCCTGTTCGGAGTTCGTAGTGGTGCGTTCCAGACTCGCAAATGATAGAGTAGCATGTGGAGATAAGTGTTCGCATAGGATTGCTATTGAATTTTTGCATTGGAAGTCAATAGGAGGTGTATTTGCTTTGAAGTCAATGAGAAGCCGTATTTGCTTTGAAGTCAATGAGAGGCATATTTGATTTGAAGTCAGTGGGAGACATTTTTGCATTAAAGTCAATGGGAGGCGATTTTGCATTGAAGTCAATGGGTGGCGATTTTGCAATGAAGTCAATGGTACATGATTTTACATTGAGGTCAGCGTGACACAGTTGTGGTGAGAGAGAGCAGGTACAATCGCACCTGTACTGAAATCGCTCAGAAACTGGAATGACATTGCAATTTCAGTACACATACAGTATGTGTGAACCCAGACTAAGGAGGCTGCTTGCCCACAGCAGGGCTAAATGTAAAAAAACTCCACCTGCCCGGCTCCTAGAAATGCATGTACCAGGCGACAAATGCTATAAATTGCACCTGTCTGCGACCTATGTGGTTTGACTGTGGAAAACTATCAGCCTTTTGGAAAAATGGATTTCTCTTACGTTCATTGACGGACACAGTCTTTCTTCATTATCCATTACCAAATAGGGTTTTATAGACCCACCTACAGGAGTAGGACACTAGGCAGCAAAAAAACTCAACACCTCCTATGGGCAGGCCTCTCTGGGCATAAAACCCCTTCTCTGCTATTGGCAATCTAGTCATTCTGCCAAGTGTTCAGGAGTATGGACATACTGGGACTTGTGGTCCTATAGCTCTTTTTCCTTTTTCCCTGGGATTTTGTTTTTTCCCGTGGAGATCTTCTATCAACAGTTGGACTGGGCGACAGGCTGGATAATCAAGATCCAGTGGTCACCCTAGTTTGACCAGCGAGTGCGCACAGACCGATAGCTCCGTGCTTGGTCAGCTGCGACAATGCCCCATCCTGGACTGGGGCAGCCAGCAAGTGAAACGTCTCACAGGGACATGTATGACCAGGTGACTATAGTCTGTAACACTGACGTGTTACCCCTGGCCAACAGCCCCCCACTTTGAGGAGGATGATCTATCACAGGAGCATTACTGCATACACTGCTGGAATGGCAAGTAGATTGCCCCCTCCCTTGCTTCCCTGGATGTGGTTGCAGCACAAGTACTCCCTTGGGAGGTCTGTCCCTATGGGGCTGTCCTCCTTCTCTACAGGCCTAGCTGCCTGTATCCCCCCCCCCATTTACTCTTGGGCTTGGGGGTGTTTGGGACCCATGACTCTGGGTGTCCGTCGCCTTGGCCTAATGTGCTCAGGGAGGGAGGGGGGGGACTGTTGTAATGGCCGGAGGAGGCTCTGCTAGTGTCCCGGGAGCTACTGAAGAGGCCTCCCCCTGCTATTCCTTCCTCCTGTGGATTAGAGATGGATTTTTGCAGGAACCTAACCATTAGCACCAGGGGGATGTCTGTGGTTGGTAGTGTTTTTGTGCTTTAATGCATTTCTGCTGTGGTGGGGAGCTACACACTCCACCCCACCTAACTGGCTCTTTGTGCCTTGCCCTTCGCCCCTCCTGTGGGCATTCACACTATGTGATCGGGCTGGTGGTGAAATTTAGTCCGTGGCCCTGCGACCTATAGAAACGGGAGTTCATGTCTGCCAGTTTTACTGTGGGCATGGCTCTTGCTGCTTTCCCAACGCCCTTTATCCAGGAGCAGATGCGGATACGGCACCCGTCCCTGCAGGCAGAGCTACTGAGGACGGGGATAGATGGGGAAGCTCTCAGGTGGGGTTCTCCCAATCCTGGACCCTCTGGTCCTAATTTCCTTTTTGCTCACAAGATGGAATCCATTTGCTTTGTGATTGCCTTTCTCTAACAAGGGGATTTTCTGGCCTTCATAGACATCAAGTACGTTTATCTACGCATTCCCATTTGTGAGGCACATCTGCTTGTCTCTGCTTGCTCTCAGGGAAACACATTTATCAATTTGAAGCACAGCCCTTTGGTCTGGCCTCCCCTCCTTGGATGGTTACCAAGGTCTTGGCCCGGTCCTTGCCTTGCTGAGACAATGAGGGAATGCTGTTGTTGGTTACATGGCTGACCTTTCTCAACTAAGAGGGTTCCGAGGTTTGTGGTAAATTAGTTTGATCCTCTGGTGGACGGGATGGATGCGCTGGTAGCGCCGTGGGATCCAGTACAATTTTATGTACGCCTTTCCGCCCCTCAGGCTATTACCTCACCTGTCACACAGGATAGAAACTAACTTTGGTTCACTCATTTATTTAGGTGGTTCATAATTTGGTGTAAACCCCCCGTGTACTCCTGTTCCCACCGTGGGACTTGAATTTGGTGTCAGCTCTTCAGAAGCCTCCTTTAGTCTAGGTTCACACCTATGTGTTTTCTGTTGTGTTTTGCAGAAACGCACAGCAGTCGATTTAACTTGATTTCCTTTGGGACAGGTTCACATCTCCACGTTTTCACCCGGTGCGTTTTTTGGAATGGCTCAGGGACATTTTAAAACGCAAAACGTTGCAGGTTTGGTTCTATAGACTTGGAATTCAATGGAAATGCTGCAGAAAAGCATGTAGTGCATTTTTGATGCGGTTTGTGTTTTTAATCTGCCAAGCAACAAGTTGGAAAAAATAAACACATCAAAAATGCGGCAAAAGCGCATGTGCAAAAACGCAGAACACACCGCAAAAAGCACTGCAGAAATGGATCAAAACGTAAACTGCATAGCCTTCGAAAACATTCAGGATAACACTCTCTGGCAGTTGTCTTCCTAGTCGCTACCACTTCGGCTCGGCGGGTGTTGGAAATTAACAGCTTTGTCCAAATAAAACACTGCGGGCAATCCGCCAACACTCCGAAGAGTGACTAAGACCCTTGGAAGGCAGCCGTCATAGGTGGCTTATAGGACAAAGCAGTCAATTTCCGACACCCGCCATGCCGAAGTGGTAGTGACTAGGAAGACGACTGTCAGTGTTATTCTGAATTTTTTTTAAGGCTAGGTTTAAACCTATGCAGTTTGCGTTTGATCCATTTCTGCAATGCTTTTTGTGGTGCGTTCTATGTTTTTGCACATGCACTTTTGCCTTGTTTTTGATGTGTTTTTATTTTTTCCAACTTGTTGCTTGACAGATTAAAATGCAAACCGCATCAAAAACGCACTACATGCTTTTCTGCACATGGGTGAGGTGGTGCTTCAAACGTCCTTTTCTTTTCCTCCAAAGTGTCAGCTTTCCACTTGAATGAGGACATTGTCCTTGCCTCCTTGTGTCTTCGACCGTCACACCCTAATGGGGGGTGGCTGTGCATACCTTGGACATGGTTCACACGATCCTCCTATGACGGCTGCCTTCCAAGGGTCTTAGTCACTCTTTGGAATGTTGGCGGATTGCCCGCAGTGTTTTGTTGGCTTGCCTTCCCCT